TCCTAATATATCCGCCATATTTCTAAGTGTATAAACCGACCTATGCGCACTAAAAATTGCGCAGATCACAAAAAAGTTCACTGTCACAATGGGTATGATTATACTGTGCCCATATATTGATTATACCAGAGAGAAACCTAAGAGAGAACATGACCCAAAACCTGTAACCGCAAAATACTTCCACACTACTCTGACAAAGTGGATATAAACTACATAGCAACGTCCACTTTTCTACGTGTAGCATGATTATATGAACAAATATCGATTTATCATCTTCAGCCTTGAAAAATGGACGATATACCCTAAGAAAAGTCATGTCTTCTCTTACTTGTGAGCTCCTGACTGGTGTGGACTTCTGTGTCCCTGCTACACCTGCACGTTACTAATCTTTATTCTCTCATGCATTTTGAGTTTTGGCTTGTATTTATTTCCTCTCGCATGTATTCCGAGAGGTTCTTATTGTGAGTAATTGCATTTAATTCATCTTATCTGCGTTTTTACTACTCGATTTGCTCACCGGCTCTGCTATGCAGACTGGGGGATCCCCTCATCCGCCCGACCCGGCCCGCCATTTACTAACAATCGTTTCACTAGAAGATTTCGAGAGCTTTTTCGAGCATATTAGATGTGCGATTGATTTATCGAAATCTTTTTCAACGCAAGCTACCAAATGAACTTCAGCAGCAACTTTTTTTAGAAAATCGGCTTCTATTACGTCAGCGAAAACGGGTAAGAATTCTAGTAAGATCAAAAAAAGAGATAAGAAAAAGAAGAGAAGGCTTGGAAAATCCTTCTTTCGATGTCCCAGCCTCTTCAACGATTCGTTCGCATTCGCGATCTCTTGTTAAAGTCGATCAAAAGTCTAATTCGGATATCTCTTCAACCCACAATACGAATCGAGCGGATTAGTGAGGATGACTCACTTTGTCGCAGCATACTCAAGGTGTTGATCCTTCCTCCTTCTCGGCCCTATTGCTGGGATGCCGTCGACAACAGTTGTGGACGTCCGTTGGAGCAGCAACGTTCCGTTGCACGTTCCCACGATGGCGAGTCTTCTGCCGAAGAATCCCCCGTTGAAGGTTACGCCCTCTGTCTTCCGGAAGTGAAGCCCCGGGGGAGCGTATGCTGTATAATGAGGGTCTTCCCCCCTATATTGTTTTCGTGCACCGCATCTCGGATGGTAGTGGCGATCCCTCTACTTTTCGAATTATGCGTACCGGCGCGGTTAGAAACGTCCCACTGGATATATCCAAGAATATCCTCAACGAATTTAACTCACCTTACAAGATTGTATCCGCCAAGCGTCTAAATATTAGGGAACGTAAGAACGGCGAGTTATGTTCCACACTCTCGCGAATTATTATGATTAAATTCTGGGAACAATTCCTCCCACGCTTGGTTTCTTTCCTGTATAAACTTCCCGATCCTCCCTTATTTCCCCAGAGTGCTTATGTGCTTTTCCTGTCTTCATTACGACTATGTAAATGCTGACTGCAAGAACAGATCTCGTTGCGCTCGTTGCGGTAAAGATAAGCGCCCCATCTCGGAAGATTGCCTTCGACAACAAATGGCTCCTTTATGCTGCCTCCTCAGAATCATTAATCTCTTTCGTCGCTCTGTCTTTCCGACTCAATGGTCACACTCTCTTGTGCACCTTATCCTCAAGCTTAACAGTAACGGAGATCGCCCTATTTCTCTCATGCATTTTTAAGATTGTAAAAAAGATAATTCTTAATAGATTTTACTAACTTATCGAATCCCCTTTCTTCAATATTCTATCTAATAACTAGTTTGGTTTTCGCAGATTCAGATCTTGTCAGGATAATCTTATTACATTCATTGCTAGTATTCATTCTCAAGAAACAGGATATCGTCGTGTTTTTCATTGATATCAAATCAGCTTTTGATAATGTCCTACCTCACATTCTTCTCCAGAAACTTTCTCTTATGAATATTCCCCCCTTTCATTTATCTGGAATCTTATATTGTCTCGTATTATTCAGTTCCTCCACCAGGGAGGTGGAATTACCATCCCTCATCAACCCCAAATTCTCCTTCAAGGGTATCCCTTAGGGTTTGGTCCTCAATCCGACATCAATGAGACTCCATCCATGGAACTAGTACAATTCGTGGATGACGTCATCTGTGCCACTAATAAGTATATAAAGAATGTGCTCGACTCTCGGACTCTCTCGAACAATCCCTTCATAATCTGAGTACTTTTCTTCGATCTTGCGGGTTGGAAATCTTTCCGCACAAGACACAATTGATAGTCTTCTCTAACAAGAAAATTATCTCCTTGTCTCCTTGTTGTGTAGCTTAGGATAATCATTAGCTTAGGATAATCATATCTCCCTTCTCCAGAGTTAGATTTCTCGGCGTCTTATTCGACCCCAAATTATCTGGAAAGCCTCATATGCAATATATTGCCAACAAGAGCAAACATATTCTTTAAGTCCTCTCGGCTTTGCGCGACACCTGGGGGGTTCTTCCCCATCTGCTCACTTTATAGATCTATGCTGCGTGCTTCTATTGAATGCTCCTCTCAACATCTTTGGATTTTTGGACAACAATCACCTTGCTGCACTCCAAGTTATTCAAAATCAGACTTTGCGACTGTGCTTCGGTTACCGTATCTCGACCATCCTTAATATTATTTATGCCGAGGCTACTTGAGCCTCCACTCAAGATTTTGGCATCCCGTTATTTTTTTAAGATCAGTTCCATAACCTGGCAGTTTCCAAACTTCATGAGCCGAGCGATTTAGCTCAAGGATCCAATAAGCTTGACTACTTGCGTTCTCGTTTTCCGATCGCCTTCATTTTCGCATGTGGTCCTTTCACTATATATTCTCGACTGCTCCTATATCCTTCCTAATTATAGATACTCATTCCAATTTACTATTATTTCTCCTTCATTTCACTCTCTACCTAATGCCATCCTGGAAATTGATTAATTCCCTAATCAATGTGCTCAGACAGCATTTGTGCAGGCCTTTCACGATCCAATTGCTGGGTCCACAGTATTTTGTACGAATGGTTCGAATGAATTATATTGATCATAGCATGTCGGGACGGCAGTTTACTCCCCGCAACTCCAAGCTGAATTTATGTATAAATTCTCTTCTTACACTTTGCTTTTTTCTGCTGAAGCTTTCGCTTTCTAATTATCTTACTGGTAGCTCTCGATCTTCTTTGAGCCACATCACTATCATGACGGACTCTAGAAGCGGTCTCGCGAGGCCATTCGCGACCGTACGAATAATTATCTTATATCGCCCCTTATCAGGGCGAACTTGTAGGAGGCTGGTGACGTATCTATGCAGGTACAACTTCTTCAATCTGGATTCCTTCGCACAAGGGCATAGCGGAAAATAAAAAAGCCGACAATCTTGCCAAAAGAGCTATCCGTAAGGGCATTGAACTTAACTTTAAAGTTCCGTACTTGGATCTTTTCGCCGTTATTAAACAAGACTTCAACAAAGATTTCTATCGTTATCTCGAGAACGTATCATACATTAAAGGCTCCTTCTACTTTAACAATATATTTCAGAAAACCTCTAGATCTTGGTATTTTCGCAAAAATATTCCTAGAGAAGCGATTGTTATGCTTAACCGGTTGCGTTCCAACTACTATAATTTCAATTATAGTCTTTTTCACAAAAACCTAGTAGACGATCCCTTTTGTGAATATGGATTCCCCCAGTAAGATATCCTACTCTCATATTTAATTGTCCACTAACTCCAAAGCCCTTTATCTTCGGCGGGCCATCGATCGCGTCTCGGATGAAGGGAACTGTTATTCCAAATTCTTGCAAATTATTTCCAATCCTTCGGAAAGCATTTATAGATTAATTTTAAATTTTAGTCTGCAACAGACCCTTTTAAATTTGAACTTTTGCCGCCTTCTCATGACAATGGCGCACTGTTCTGTCTTTACTCCTCCCCTCTCATCCCATCCTAGCGGAATACATTGCTTGGCACTCTGTCACGAGATTCTTGACGCACTGTATTATCAACGCTATTATGCCTTGACTCGTTCAGATATCCTATTAGACGTGATCTAGCTATGTCAACCTCCTACTATTTTCGGAGGCGAGAACCAATAAGATGTTCTCTCTCAGGTTTCTCTCTGATTATGCGATTCATACTTCTTTTCTAATGTATTCCATTCCTTTCTTTAGCAAGTACAAAATAGAGTAGTGTTTCCAAAACATCCTAAAGTATCTCAGCCGTGTCGTTCGCTCATTAGCCGTATATTAGTACCACAATTTGCACGATTACGCATCAATAGTATAAAAAATGATGCTTGGCTCGAGACATCTGTTGTTGCTCAAACATCAATTAGTGACAAACTTATTGTAAGAATTAATCCATGCAACTTACTGTCAATGGGCGAGTTCAAGATGGCAAAGCCGCATGCTTGCCGAGCAAATGAGCATAATTAATTCTTACCTGTGGATCCAACCAATCATGTTTAATTGCTTGGTGAACAGACTTAGCCGCTTTGTCGACTTGAATGCGCCCTATGCTACTTATAAAGAATTACTTGATGATATCTTTTATGTTATTATAGGGTGAACCTACAATATCTGCAATTAAAGAATCCAAAGTATCTGATAAATTTATAGTATCAATTGGACCTACCATTTTTCAAGGAGATGAGAAATCGAATGAAGTTATCCAAGAAAACAAAAAAACTGACTTAAACACAAAATCATAAGTTTCATGTAACATTGAAAAATAATATTGTAAAATAAAGCTATTGAATAGAATATTAAATAATTACAAAATAAAAAAAAGATATGCATAAAGGAATAGTAATTTACAAATTCCATTCTTATTAATATACTATATGTATATGACAATCTGTTAATTACGATACTATGGCACTTTTTATTCTCAATTCTTTTTCAATTCATAAATATTACTATAGTATATAAATAATAAACATTAAAAACAACGCAACATACTTATGGTGAGCAGATGAATTAATTTCAGTTGTATTATTTTTAATTGTATTAATAAGCAGATCCTGCTTAAATACAATACACAGTACTGCATACACAAACTTATTAAGTAGATCTATATTTAGCAACCATAAGCAATATTATGGTACTAATTATAAATACACCTGGCGCAGTAACTTTATGTATATCCTCTGTATCATCTGTAATATCAATAGAAATATCTACAATTAATGTTTATTAGTATATCAATTTCATTACTAATATTTATTGTTAACGGCTTACCATTTGTTTCTGGGAGTGACTCCCAACCTAAGCTTTTATTAATACCTATTTTCCACTGAGAATATAAAATGTCGCGTTCTAAAATTAATATATTAGTCAATTAATCTCTTCGTATAGTGTCAAAAATTTTTATATTTGTAATAAAAGATGATTATTGCGAGATGATCACCATTCTCAGTTATTAATGGTAAGAAGATGTCACTGGGAATAGCAGCATCAATTTTCACATCCCATTTTCGTATTCCTTCTGCGCTACCCGCAGCAATTGCGACTCCAAGTGCAGTAGTTTCACACATTAATGGTCTAACTTTCGTATAAAAAACATGTATTCATTTATATAATCCATTATTAACTTTTAATCCAATAGTATGTATATATTTGAAGAAATGTTTTTCCTACCCACTGGAATTCCACAAATGTCAGCTTGCATTTGCATTAACAAGTTGTTATTCGTCATTGCACCGTCAACTAACAACTTTGTCAACACTAAACCAGTATCCTTTTTCATAGCTTCCAAAATGTCTCTCGTCTGAAAACACACCGCTTGCAGAGCTGCCTTTACAATATGTGCACTGGTTGTATCTTCGCTAATACCACATATGACACTAAAACAATTAATTCATATTGATACTTACAAAGTAAAAAAAAGGATATGTTAGTTCTTATTAATATATTATATGTACATGACATCTAATAACTATTTTACATCATGGCAGTTTTTATTCTTAACTTTTTTTGTTATATCTAGATTTTGTTATACTTAGATATTTATTGTAAAGTAATTCAATTTCTATTATATTGATAAAATTAACTACCTTCGTGCATCTTTCCTCCAATATGGAGCATATAATCCAGAAAATGCTGGTACGAAAACAATATGATTGGACCCTACGGGCACTTGTTCGACAATAGTTTCACAGTCTTTTATATCAGTTAATATTCCAAGATTATCTTTCAACCACTTTATAACGGCACCTGCGATAGCTACAGAACCTTCAAGAGCATACACCGGAGAAGCGTCCGCTCCTAATTGATAAGCGACTGTCGTCAATAAACCATGGGCCGAATCCACAATCTATAACATTTGAAAATACAAAATTGTATTTGTTTGAATTTTATATCTTATCTGAACTATAACATGTTGTGACAATACAATAAAATTTCTCTTACAGCTGTGCCAGTGTTGTAAAGAAGAAAGCAACCAGTGCCATAAGTATTTTTTGCCTGCCCTTGCTGTAGACACATCTGACCTACTAAAGCTGATTGTTGATCACCTAAGCACTGCAACGAATAATTTTTATGTATTTGAGTCAAATTTATTTTAACTTACAATTAATATCTCAATATAAAGTTATATAAATTTTTTTACATTCTGATATACAATAATACTATATATCTCAATACTCTGTTATATTTAATAAAATAGTATGAATCGCATACTCCTGATATAGGAACACCCTGCAGCAACTCGTCTTGTATATAACCATAAATCTCAGAAGAGCTCCGTATTTCAGGTAAAATTTCAGGAGGTATTTTAAAAAATGATAATAGAGTAGGATCCCACTTCAAAGTCACAATATTCATTAACATTGTTCTCGAAGCATTCGTCACATCTGTACTATGAACACCACCATTGGCACCACCTGTTAGATTCTAATTATAAAATTATAAAAGGTATATTAATCTGAATCAGTACAAAAATTTATCTATATTACGCTTGCTCTGTGCAAACAAACCCAAATTAGCCAGGAATCGATGGTACCAAACATGAGGCGTTTGGCAGCTAAGGCTTCTTGAACTCGAGGTACATTCTCTAACAACCATTTCAATTTCAATGCACTAAAATATGGACTAATTGGTAATCCGCAAAGCGGTTTCAAGTAATTCTTATTTTTATTGCGTACACCCTTCAATATATCATCTATAATTGATGTTGTTCTCATATCCATCCATACTGCAATATATTATCAAAATGATAAATTGTGTAAATTATTACAATTTATGAAAAATATAACATTTATAATAACAATTTTACCTATAGCATTGTAAAGTGGTTCTCCTGTTATAGAATCCCATACAACTGTAGTTTCCCTTTGATTTGTTATACCAATTGCAACTATATCAGCTGGATCTATTGTCAGCTGCCTTAAGTTAAATACAGTTTGCTTCAGGCATTCCCTAACTGCTTCTAATATCTCTAAAGCATTTTGTTCAACCCATCCCTCTTTTGGGCATATCTGTGATATCGATACTTGATGATATGTTAATACTTCTGCTGTATTAGCTGCAAAAACCTATATTATTGTAACAAAGAATTATTGTGATAAAGAAGAAACTTATACAGGATAATTAAAAGATAAAATCAAACTTTAAGGAAAAAACCTAAAGTTTCCTTAGAGAAAAAAATATGAACATAAATCTAGAAACATTTTTTTGTATTATTTCAGAAACACTAATTATGCCAATATACTTTTTATTAAACAAATTTGACAAAAGAAAAACTACTAACTCATTAAAACTGTATTTTCCAAACATTCTAAACAAAAATAATTAACTTATGCATTTATACAATGTAGACAGATTAGAAAGAGTTCTAACAAGGAAATGAAGCGTTTCTAGATCCATAATCATATGTTTTCATAAGTATGAGGAATGTGGATTTTAAAATTCAGCCATATCATTTAATTGCATCCTGTATAAGTACTTTAAAATGTTATGTTATAATTACTCTAACAACAATCATTAATGATTATTAACGGATATAAGAAACGAATGATAAGAGACATAGCCTTATTACAATCTCTTCATATCATCACTCATGTCATTACAAATTGTCACAACTACATATTACTTTTAATGTATCTTTCAAGTCAAACTACGACAATTTATTTTAACATTTATTTTAACATCTAGAAGAAAACTGGGGATCGATTCTGTATTTTGAAACGAGATGAAAATTACAAAAGTGAGCGAATTTATTAGAATACTAATAATTTCATTGATCAACTTGCTCATTGGTAAATTTGCTCGCTTGTAATTTTCACCTTGTTTGAAAACACAGAATCGATCTTCTGATTTAACCACAGCATCGTATACATATAAGTATGCTGCATTTTCAAGATTCCTCGACTATAGTAACCGCAATCTCGCAACAACGCGTCATCTCACAATATGATCATTGACATAATGAATAACAAAAAATTGGTCGAACCAAAAATCTTGCACTACTCGTTCCCTCGTCGATCGCACCGACAAGAGGCCCATATCTACTCAATGAATCATTTTTGTTCATTTGAGCGTCTTAAGCGAACGTGGTCACCTCGACACAACCGCGATCGTCATGCAACCACATGCAACTTACGACTTTACTATTTACACGTGCTCACTAAACGCTCAGTGACAGTGAGCCATGGTGGAAGGGATAATATGGGAAGTTTCCAACAAGAGACACAGGCCTAGTTTTCACCGAGGGTTTAATCCGGATCAGAATGTAAGAATCAATCAATTACAGTCGAGTATTCCCTTGTACAGTCAAAACTGGCCAATCACAGTCGTTCCCTTCTTTCAGGAAGCTATGATTGGCCAATTTCATAACTACGGATGTTATTAAACCCGATTAAAGCTACGGTCCACTTGATACTACGAATGCTTTGAAATATTTTAGTTAGTCAGTTAATAAAATTCTTTCTTCCGATTGGTCAATCAAAAGTTTCGAAGCATTCGTAGCGTCTTCTTTTTCTGGCTGCATTCGAGAATCGCGCTATCAGCGCTATTTGTGTCACCTATCTTTGTTTTACGTCTAATAAATAATGAAGATAGAGTGACACAAATAGTACTGATAGTGTCTTCCCGAATGCATTCTCTGTTGGACTCCTGTCTCCATAGAGTATGTGGAATCAATATGGCCTGATCACGACGTAGTATTTGTAATGTCAAATGAACCACACAAGGATGAAATTACTGCGAATAGAGAATGTGTCATTGAAATAATCACTCAGCGCTATTCCGCATTTGATGTTACGGAATAGCGAATGCGTCATTGTCTTGTAATAAACCATCGTATTTTAGAGAGGTTAAAATAATTTGATTCTGATTAATATGATGGAATTGCGTAATGTCGAGACGAATGAAGCAAAATGACAAAATCTGAGTGCATAAATATAGATATCAAGATAAAAAAACAATAATACATTAAGCCGGTTCTACAGCCGATCACAAGTTTGTTGACAGCCAATCTGAAGCTTGCATTTTGAAATCAACATTTCATATTGGCTGTCATAACAAACTTGCGATCGGCCTGCAACTAATGTAGAACCGGCTTTACATGCGATTCATGCAATTTTAGTGTGCTTTTTTCCGCACTTTTCCGTCACGCCAGTTTTGTGTGCTATGTTCACACAATGCGTAAAAATGATAGTAAATGCGTTAAAGTAGTTCAAAAAATTGTTATGAGATTGTAAATATTAATTGTAAAACCTTAATACTACAACAGTGATAATTATTTTTACAATTTGTAAAATTAAATTTCATTTGATTTTACAAATTGTAAAAATAATTATCACTGTTGTAGTATTAAGGTTTTACAATTAATATTTACAATCTCATAACAATTTTTTGAACTACTTTAGCATTTACAATAGCATTTGAATAACCAAATTATTAACATGAAGTTAATAGTTTTTAAATTATATTCATGCTGGATACATCTTTGACGCATCATGTGAACATAGCACACAAAACTTGTGTAATAGGAAAGTGCGGAATAGCGCTAATTAATTGCGCTACTATGAATACTGATCTATATCTTAAACGTGCTGAGAACGTATCTTTCATTATTAATATTTCATTGTTAATATCTTATTAAATAATTTTTATTTTCTTGAAAAATCAAGTACTAAATTTGTTATTATTAATATATTAATATGCTCCATATAGATTGGTATTCATAATCGGTTTTTATTTCAAGATCATCTTAAGTAATGTTTTAAAATATTAATATGGTTCTCTGATTGGCACCTCAAAACTGTACTTAAGACGGTCTTAAATATGATATCTGATTATGAATGTGTGGCAGCATTTTGCTTATAAATTTTGGACGTCATATTTTTTCTCTCTGGCTTTTACAAGCCGATCATACTAGTTACAGTGATAACAAGGTTTACGTGGTCAAAATTGATGAATATCAAGCGCTAATTTGGAACACGTGATCCTTTTGTCGCTGAAATGACTAGTTTGAACAAAAATGTACTGATGCATCCATTGTAGCTGTTGTCTATTATGTGAAAAAAAGGATCATCATTAGTTGTTTTCCATTTACACCGATTCTCAGATAAATCTCAGTTGAATCTGCGTTCCTTATATATTCTGACAAGTGAGATTTAATTGAATTTTTGCCTATAATCTGCACAAGATCGAGACTGTATGCTTTAATGAGTCTCGTAAACTCTCTTTAAAAATCAGGTTCGAACCTGTGTTGTCATGTGATAACTTTTTATCAAACTAAGCAAATAACGACGTCATTAATCTGAGTTCTCAGCTCACTTCAATTAATCTCAGCTCACTTCAAACTCAATTTCACTTGTGTGCAAATGGAAAACAACTATTCTCAGCAGAAAAAAAAGTAGATTATTCGTTTCAACCGAATGGATTGCTCGTCGTTCCCATGCAACGAACTTAACATGGCAGCGCGTCATTATTGCAGATGGCGCGTGAGGCGCTCCGTTTCCGACGCGTAATGTTCCAGATCCTTTCTTGAAGGCCGCCGGATAAGTAAAAACGCGCGGACAACGAATACGTCGCCATTTTCAAGATTTCTTGGCGTCGCGACGGATACCCGGCCTGATACGACCTTTCGTGCGAATGTGAATGTCGTCACCAAACACCGCTCGGTTGCTGTTCAACTCTCTCTCGCTGCCAATTGTTCACATCAGGGAATGAAAATTTCAAGTCAGTGCTGACAACTTTTTGCGTCTTATTATCGTTGTCGCGCCCGATCACCATTTACGATTGCTACGCGTGCCGTCGCCTTCTCTCAGCTGTGATTACTGTGAATCACGGCGCACGTGCTTACGCTCACGTAGAATCATGTGCGTGATCGGAGGCATTTCTTTCAACGGCGTATCATTTTTCGGCGATATACCTGCGGTTCTCTCATTGCCACTCTATGATTCTCGTCTGTGACAGCGTCTCGTGTTCGACGCGGACATGGCAGAAGAAACGGACGGCTGTATTCCGCGTCGAGTGCGTGTTGCAACCTCGTGCTTGTCGACGAGTCACGCGTTCACGCTCGCATCTTCTGGCAATGTGCAAGGCTAGCGTGGCTCTCGTTAAAACTGAAAATTCGATTCTCGCGCAACACGAGATTGTTCGCACGGAGATTCAACGTTTTTACAGACAATGAAACCGCGGATGACAGTAAACTGTACACGTTGACATCTTAAACGCAATGCATCGACAAGAATGAACGTCTTAACGTTCAGAGTTTCGATGCTTCCAAATGCTTTGGTGTCATTGATTCGCTTATATATACTTCTCGCATTAAACGGTTGGCGAATATATCATTATTGTATAGTAACCTAGATAACACAGTCTAAAATTAAGTCTTTAAGACATCTTTTAGACACCAAAGATGTCTTGTGTTTCAATTTTTGAGGCGGTATTCATAGTCCGTTCTTATTTCAAGACTGTCTTAAGTAATGTCTTAAGATGTAAATACGGCCCTCTGATTAGTTCGTGACTTCTTAAGATGATCTTGAATATAAGATCTGACTATGAATACCGCCTTGAACATTGTTGTCTAGGAACAAATGAGTTGGAAAAAAGCATCACTCGCAGAACTTGTTGCGCAAAAAATAAATTCAAAATTATAAAAGTGAACTCTATTCTCTGAACTAAATTAATATTAATTAATAAAAGAATATATACACCGAATGTTCTTAATGTAAAAGTTTATTTAATCTCATATATACATAGATTTTTGAGACGAAAATTTAATATCAAAATGTCTAGAGCATAATAGTTTTTGAATTATACCCTAAAGTTCGTGCGGTTAGATTTTCCGTTGGTATCGCATCTCACATCTGAACTAATCTGAACACACGAACTTTAGACAGTATGATTCAAAAACTTTAAGTGCTTATAACTCAAAAACTATTAGAACCTCGATGTTGTGGTATTAGAATTTTCATCTCAAAATGTTCTCAGGAATCTACCTTTAAGCATTGTTACAGTCTTTATTGAGCACCCTGTATAAAAATTCTCTATGCAATAGAACATAATCAAAGAGATTCACAACCTTGATTGAAATAAGTTCAATATGACAAGGCTTCAATTATATATTTCATTAAATATTATGCAAATATATTTAATACATCAAACTTCTTATTTATTTTTTGTACACATTCTATGAGTGACTCTTACATGTTATTTTTTAATTCATTTTGTTATTGTTTAATATTAAGACTTATTATATATTATATATATTATTTTTCTCTTTTTTAACTATTATTGTACTTATATGCATATATATGTATATGTATGTATATAGTCAAATAATTGATAATAATCTTTTAAAGATAATTTTCTTGTCAAATCTCGATAATGATTCAAGATATTCTGAAAAACAATGTATTATATTACTATAAACAATGTGTTATATTACTATATTATTATAATCTTGATCAAATCTGTTCAAAACAAATTTTGCAAAGTGTCTTTAGATAGACATATAATAGACCAATAGAAATATAATAACAATCTGTTGGTAGATTGACTGACAAAACAGTAAAGTTTGTTATTTAATTTTAAATAATTTATTTAGCAATTTTTCCATTTAACAAATTAGATTCTCATGATTATTAAATTATATCAGAAGAACACGAGCTTATTAATGTACAACTTATTGTGAGCTTATTAAAACTTACTGTGAGCTTATTAAAATTAAAACAATTTATATGAATATTAGTTTGAATTTACCAGTAGATGCTAATATTTTGCTTAATGAGACGTAATGAACAGATTTATGTATGAATCTCTCAGAAATTAGATTGATAAACTTAAAGAAAAAAAAGTTTTATTACTAAAGAAGGAAAATAATATTTCTAAGTTATATATCTAGTACCATTAACAATAAAATATCTCATTTGCAGTAGTGAAACATAATGGCTGACTTCGATAAAGATTCTATGCAGTGTTGTTTGGTGTGTAACACTAAAGTTGGGCTATCTGCTAGAAACAGTATACACATCTTTGATGAGTCTTATACCATATCTAAGAAACCAC